TTTCCATTTATCAACGTTATACTTTAAGATCTGTGCAAGAACTCAGCTAACAGATGTTTCTGCGTATAAAAGCTATCTTCAAACTCAGAATTACAGGACCAGGCACCCAACCTGAAAGTTACAGAATGTTGCATGCAAGATACTGGAATTACAAAGGGAAGGTAAACAACACTCAACTGGGCAAGTCTTCCCCCAACCTGAAAAAGCACAGAATGCAACAAACTGAACTCGGAATTATGGAGCCTATTCATGCCTTACTCAACCTGAAGAAACAGAGATCATCTGGCCTGGGATTACAAACCAAAATCCTAACTCCTTAACCTGGGAGGTATGGCAACACCTCCTGCTCCTAGAATTATGAGGAAAACGTGACAAACGAAGTTCAACCAATGGCTCACAGACATAATGCTCCACGTGCAGAATTATGAGAAGTCGAGGACTCTCTTCCATGATCATGGAAAGTAATCGAATGATCAAAAAGAAGGGTCACGCTCACACAACCAGATAGTAAAGTGTCATCTCTGAACCAGAATTACTAGGAGTCTCGCAAATAAGCTTGTCCGGCTCCCAAATAGACATCTGGGAAAATCATCCAGGTGGAAGGGTATCCAGCTTTGCTCTCTTCTCCTTGAGTGGAATAAAGATAACAAACACCACTCAGAAGGAATAGATCTCTATCCACCACTCTAGTGACTAGAAAATGAGAATGGTAAGGACTCTCTTGCTCCACTAGAAGAGAGGGGGGATGACATGTGTTGGGGAGTCCTGAGGAATGATGCTCCAGAGACAGCGCAATAGGCAAACCATGTTCCCTATTTTGAAAAGCAAACCAACATTGAGTTGTTCAATACAGGGGTAGTAGGGACAGTCAAGTCTCTTTATGCTTTACTCATGATAGTCCATAAGTGGCATCCACTATTATATACTATATTTCATATAAAAATATTGTTCACTACCCAGTCTTATGGAACACCCCCTCTAAACAGAGCTTGTTGCTACCAGGAATTTAGTTATTAGTCTACTGGTAGTTAGTGCGGATTTGTTAGAGCATACCTGACAAGGCAACACTCGCCACTGAGTGGATTCTAAGTGAGAATGATGAAAATGTCCCTGGAAAGGAGCACACCAAGAAATGAAGTTACTTACTAATGTCACAACTGAGTCAGGGCGTGTAGAATAGCCACATCGGGGTAGCTGAAACCCATCCAAGGAGGAGAGTGCTAAATAATGTAAATAGTGCACTATAAAGGTGTTAGGTGTGGTCCATACACCAAACTGTACAATTTCCTTCAGGAGGCAACACAACTAAGCTGCCAGGGACATTGATATATGTCGAACTTGATGAAACAAGACCCAAAAAAGTCTCTGCTTTTCCAAAGACCAGAATAAGCTATCTGAACCAATTGATGAATCCAACCTGTCCAAGTGACAAGGTATAAGTTGCATGATACTGAAGGATCCCAATGGATAAATAACCATTGGTGTGAGCCCCAAAACACTTCAGTGCATGCTACCTAACATTGGAGAGACTGAACAGATCATAAATGATGATCCAGATCTGAATAGTTGTATAAATGGGAAATGGAGAGAAGATGAATAGGAGAGAAAGCCTTATCTCCTTCTCTAGCTGCTGCAGTTTTAGGTTAAAAGGACCCGTCTGGAAACAACAGAACATAGTCGGAATGATACAGTGTCCTGTGTACATGAAGCACAAACATATTTGAATATTGATGCATGCCAGTCAATAACAGAAGAAAACATATTTTAATTGAAAGATGATATGGTGAACATGACTCCAAAGGTTTAAAGGGTGGACGTGATAATGCATGGAGAACCACTGTGATATCCCAACTATGAACCTGGAAAGGGTGATGAGGACATAACCCAAAATGATTTTAAAAGTAATGACAAAACCAGGGAATCAAAAACTTTTCTTCTCTTACAAAATGAAAGTACCTGATAAGGCAGCCTGAAACAAGGCACCAGGCAAAGGCACCAAACCTTTCATCAAACAGCCATGTCAAAAATTGAGACATGTAGCATAGTGGGACACAGAGGGTTAAACCCATGTCTGAGAGACCATTGACAATATGTAAACCATTTACTTTCATATAAGAATGTTGATTGGAACATGTTAATAAGGACACCACTTGAGATGTCAGTCCCTGATTTCGTGTGATGGACTGCATAAAAGTCAGACATGAAGTCGAGGCATTCCTGACTCCTGGATGAAAAATGTCTGACCAAAGCCAATGTAAGAGAGATGGCCAGGGAGAAAAGGCAAGAGGCGAGAGGGAAGGTTGTATTGCTTTATTGGGCAATTCCACAGTAGTCTCGTACATTTCAAAGCGAGGGGGCACTCACTCCATATCTCTTTGTTTTCAAACAGTAGATCTTTTCCTTTGGGCACACAAACACCAGATTGTTTTCCTCACTTGTCATGTTCCAGGGATAATGAATCTAGTAGTTGACCAGTTATCTCATCCAAACAGAGCTCTTCCTACAGAGTGCATGCTTCATCCTCAAGTTTTTTGTTGGATCTGCTCTTGTCTTAGGACACCACAAATTGATGCTTTTGCCACACACTGGAATGCTCAGCCCCCATCCTTCTGGTCTCCAGTACCTCAGCCTCTGGCTTTGAGAGTAGATGCTCTCAGCAAGGATTGGACAGATCTTCATCTTTATGTGTTCCCTCTGATTCTTCTGCTTTCCAATGTTCTGGCACTGATTCACTCCATGTCCTGTCAAATTCTTTTGGTGGCACCATATTAAACAATGAGACCCTGAGTCATAGTCCATTGAATTACTAAAAGTTATAAAAGATTGATGTGGAGAGAAAAAAATACTATACTGTCCAAAGTTCCTTGAATTTCAAATTTTCTATACAAGCACACCAGCCCTGAAAAGAAGCATCAGTGAACATATGTATCTCTGGCTGTGGAGGTGGTAGAGAGACACCTACTGTTGTGTTGTCCCTGTTCAAATACCAGCTGAAAACTAGCAAACTGGAATCCGACAGTCTCATTGGACAATCCAGTGCATCTGTTCCACTAGTCCTGTAATGACCATTGGAAACTTCATTGCAGGTACTTAAACAAAAAGTGCTCTGATATCCAAAGTCGCCTGTTCTGGCTTAATCTGTGTATTGAACCAGTGTTCCAGATTCAAATATAAATATATAAACACATATGTACAACACACAAATATACGTAGAAGCACGCAT